AAAAAACAAAAAAAACAAAAAAAACTAGAGTCATTATTTTTAAAAAATATTAAAATAACTCTTTGTTTTAAAAATATCTCCGTTATGTTGTTCTGAATGTATTTTCTATATAATTTTTTTTTATAGACTTTTCTTGAAGTCCTTAAATACACTCGAGTGGTATTGATTGTTAATGTCTAACTTGCGTTACCACATTTTATGATTGTGGTCAGTGGCGGAGCCACGTAAACCAAAGGGGTCACATGCCCCTTGGATTTTGTGATTTTTTTTTTTATAACAAAGATAAAGAAAATGTTTTAAATAAAAAGAATTACAGAAATATTATTAGAGTGAAATGTCAATGGCATTTTAAAAATTTTGAGAATAATAATGGTTGTTTTAATTGAAAATGAAGAGACTACTATAGAAATTTTTTGAATGTAACTTTTGTTCTTTTAATTTTTGGTGAGAGCAAAGTGTAGTTTGAGATTGAATTTTTAGTGATTGTTTTTGTCAAATCACAGATTGTACGTACTATTGCTCTTGTATACATGTTAAATTCTCAAGTTTTCTTCTTAGTTAAATTCTTTGGCTGTGTTGAATGAATTTTGTTCCTTAATTGAAGTACCAAAACTGTGAGCAATTTTTAATTTTTTAAATGTTATTGTTCCTTAATTGTGGTTGGGTTGAATGAATTTTGTTCGATATTGGATTGAATGTTTAAAAACAAAAATTGAATGTTCTCAAAAAATCAAAAAAATAGAGAGATTTGGCGACTAAAAAATTGGTCAGCAAATTCTACACTTTTGCGACTAAAATCATTGGTCGGCAATTCCTTACCTTTTGGCGACTAAATTGTTAGTTGGCGATTCCTTGACTTTTGGCGACTAATCTGTTTGGCCGTGGAATGTGACAATTGGCGACTAAAATATTTGGTCGGGAAAATATCACTTTTCGTGACCAAAGTGTTTCACCGACAAAATGGATTAGTCGCTGTAATGATATATTTAGCGACCAAAAATTTAGTCGGCAAATCCAACTTTTCCCGACCAAAAAAAATTTTGGTCGCAAATTACTTTTGCCGACCCTCAATTGGCGACCAAAGTAGCGACTAAAAAAATTGGTCGCGAATAACTTTTGCCGACTAAAAATGGGCTTTTAGCGACCAATTTTTTGGTCAGCAAAAGTGTTATTTCTTGTAGTGTATGAAAAAAATGCTTGCAAATTACAAAAGTATTACTTTCAATGGTCTTGTTTGGGACGAGAGTTGCGCTAAAATAGCTCATTAAAAGACAATATAAGTTAAAATAGTCAATAAGACAAAATGTTTCATTCAACCTATAATTATTTTACTTTTTTCTTTCACAACCATCAAATCAACTACAAAAAATAAAAAAATAAAAAACTAGCCAACTTCTCAAATATAATTATTTTAGTCAGGTTAAAATAGCTAAAAAATCAAATAACTAGCTAAAATAAAATTGCCCAAAAAGCCATTATTTTAGCCGAAGATGTTTTTAATAAAAACTTCAGAGGAACTATTTCATTTCATTTTCAAAATCTATTTTTTGAAATTTTTACCCCGTTTGACAATAATAAAAATAAAAAAGATATTTTAAAAATTATTTCCACCTAAAAAAAAGATAAAATCATATAAAAATGACTAGTAGTTTGTATTTTTCATTTTTTTTTTACGAAATTAGTTTTGAGATTTTTTTTAAAAAAATTGAAAAAGTTTATTCTGAAAATCAAACCAAAAGATCCGTTATTTAATTAGTTGTGGGGATATATTTTCTGAATACCAACACGTGGCATGGTGACGCCGACGTGTCAGCCGAGGTGCCACGTGCCCTGGTAGTTAAGCCGAGGTAATCTCGGAGAAGCCGAGGTCATCTCCGAAGATATCGGAATCCGAGATAAGGGGCAAGAGTCCTAAGGCACAAAGGGGACTGAATCAAGATAAGGATAAAACTCTCAAGGAGTTATCTTTATCACTTAAAAGAGTCTAGAGTAAACAGTAAATTAGAATTCATAGAAGTCATACTTCTAGTGGGACTTGGATTGAGTATATTATAAAAGAGAGGCACCCCCGTGGGTCTAAGGTATGTAATTTATACTTTGAGTATTCAATTTAGTACTTGATTATCTTTGAGAGATATACTGACTTGATCGTCGGAGTGCCCCCGGGTGGAAGAACCACCGCCGGAGCTTTTTTCTTTCTGTTTCAGGTTGCTTAAGCCATCTATTCTGCTTGTGCTCTCCAGCTGATCACTAAACGGGCAGTGTGGTCAGATTTTCACCCACACACATATCACATTTTACACAAATAGAAAACCCAAATAAAACTCCTTGATTCTCACTCTCTTTCAAAAAAAACCTAACCTAACCCAACTAAATAAAACTGATCTCAACCATTGAAATATCCCAATAAAACTCTTCTCAACTATATTTAGGCTCTATTTGAAAATTGCTAACTTAGTTAATTTTCTAATTTTTGACCAAAAAAAAATCTAAAAAAAATGATAAAATATTTTATAGTGATTTTTAAATTTTTAATTAAGAATTATAATTTCGAAACAGATTTTAATTTTTTTTTTTTTTTTACACACCCACCCCCAAAGAGTTCATTCACACACCCACCTTAAAGAGCTAAAGGGTTGAGTCGACTCAATTTTTTTTCACTCTCATTCAAACCATAAATCCCAAACAGGTTGCAAATCATAATTCAATTAGAAGCGGGTGAGTTTTTTTTCATCCGTTCTTGTCAAGTCAGTTGGCCAATTGATGGTAAAATTGAGCCTCAACTTGTGAACTATACATAACTCAATACTATCTTAATTAAAAAAATGTTACATGAATCATCCAAATGCACACAACATAGAAGAACCAAAGTAATGAAACCCAAGGATCTCAAAACTCAAAAACAGGTTCTAATTGCTTCTTTGAAATCAATGTTAATGGCAAAATCTAACTAAAATTAAACCCAAGGTTCATTAAATAAAATTAACTATACTATTTTTTTAAACAAAGATTACAACCAAATACTTAAGCATACATCCACATATATGAATGTTTCATAAAGGTAAAGTTTTGCCAAGATTTGGGGTTCGCAGTTCAGATTATACAGAATTAGAAGTGAGCAACCAAACAAACCCCTAGGAAGTGACGTAGTGATTTGAAAAATAAAAAAAAAGGTTTCTAACAAATTGCTATCAAAATGGTGGGTTTTCTTACCTATCAAAATGATGTTAAGGTTTTCATTTTCTAGAGTTCCAAGAATTAAAAACCTATAATACCTTTTTTGGGTAACAAAACAGAGCAGAAAGAGAAGGAGAAAGAGATTACCTTGGTGAGAATCAGTTCAGTTCCTGCTCTAGAGTCAGAAATTTCTGTTTGGTAACTGGTAAAAACAATGAAATCAAAAATGAAAGAGTGAGGAATTTCATAAATTAACAATTGTATATTGCAATGAGAGGAAAGAAAAATTTATATAATATCTTAAAACAGGTAAAACAATTCACACCTTAATTTAAAAAAAATAGAAAATAAATAAAGCTCTATCATTAAAACAGGTAAAATAATCAAACAATAGATCATTGAAAAAGAAAACTCTTCTATCATTAAAACAAGCATTGCAAAATCAATAAAACATTGCGAAGAGGAAAGAAAAATTCATATAATATCTCCTCTATGACATGAAAATATTACTTCAAACCCCAATGACAACATTTTGAGATTAATGTTGGGATGACAATTGCTATAAAATTGATGTTGGGATTAATCCCAAGATTAATCCGAATATCTCCAAACATATTGTCCCAAGATTAATGTTGGGATGACAGTGTATACCCTCAATAAAATTGGACAGGAGAAGATTAATCCCAAGATTATTTCTCCTTTATTTTGTACTTTTTGTAAGAAGCCATCAATTACATTAACTAAGACAATTTTAAAAATGAAATTGTTGCCCTAAAAATTGGCCAAAGTTAAAAGGATTTGAAAGTCGTTCAATAGCCATTCTAATATCGATACCTGAAATTAAAAATAATAATAATTGAATTTGAAAAATAATAATAAAGTTAATTAGATGGATTAAAGCAAAAATGTCTAATGTTCAGTATTTTCAAATCAACGTCATATAGTATGTAATAAACTTTCTAACTGCTCAAAAGCATCTATCATTTATCAAACACCACTTGCCATCACACACAGTCCAACTCACTTTCTTCACATATTTCCTGCCAATTTGTTTGTGTAAACACCCCATTTTTGACCGACCTTAAGACTCAGACGTCACCAGTTGAGCGCTCGGTGATGTTGCATTTTGTGCTCGTTCTGAGGTTTCAGAGTCTCGGCTGCGAGCCTTGCCTCCGGACTTTGGGGCTCTTTTTGTGCCTTGCCTCGGTTTGCGAATCGAGTCCTGTTTTCTCTGTTTTCTCTTCCCAAAGGAAGGGAGAGATCTCATAGACCATCTCTCAGTGGCCGTAGGCTACGTTTCGTGGTCGTAGGCCATTTTTCCCGTTTGGAGCCTAGTTTCCGGTTTTCAGAGCCGTCAGTCGTGTGCCTCGGTTCGGGACCGCTTAACTACCTCCGTTTGCTCCAGTTTTTGACACACACCTTATTTCTTCCCTTTAGAGGGACACTGTGGCCCGGGAGACCACCTTTGTGAAACTCCGTATTTTTATATAATAAAAATAATATATATATTTTTAATTTTCTTAAATAATTATTCACAATATTTTGAATTTAATATTCTGTATATTTTTATACTGAAAATTTACTCAAAACAAAATAAAATAAAATATTTTTGACTCAATATTAATTTCTGAACCGTATGATATTTTTATTATATTTTTCTCTATATTTTTTGGTAATCAAATTGCACTGAAACCTTATATTTTCTGTACTAAAAACCAATCAAAAACCATGGGTTTGCTACCCCAGGTTTTCTTGCATTCCACCTTCAACGTGGTGAACATGCTGACCAAGTGTTCAATTTCTTCTTCTTCTTTTTTTATTATTTATTTCTTTTCATTTTCTTTTATCTTCTTTTACTCTTCCTCATTTTGCTTCTCTTCCAATTGCATAGCTCTCTCTCTCTATCCGTTTCATCTCTCTCTCTCTCCCTCCATCTCTCATTCTCAAAACTCTCTTTCTCCTTTATCTATGTTTTTCCTCCTTCCCCAACCTCCATAGCCATGGCCTCAACCCACACTATCGCCAACCCGCGAACTTCACCACCATTGGCGCACCGTCGGACCGGCACCACCACCATCACCTATTTCTATTATCATCTAGAACCACCATCCACAAAGTGTTGTAGGTGAAGAAAGAGAAGAAGAAAGAAGATGGAGGAGAAAGGAACAAAGTTAGAGAAATTTATGTTGAAGTTCAAAAGTTGGTTTTCGGCTTACTTTCGGCATGCCAAAACCATCCATTCTGGGAAGAAGTGAGACAAATAGGCCATGTAAGATGAAGTACGAAGTAAGTTGAAGAGATTGGCGAAAGAATGAAGTAAAACCGTTAAGAATTAAGAAAGTTATGGGGTCCGAAAGATGGTTCGAAAAAAATGTCCGAGACGGTAGGAAAATAATCTTATTTTTGGTCAAATTTTGGAGATCCGAGGGCATGCAAAAAGAGACGGAACAAGGCGTGTGAATAGTGAACCAAAAACTAGGCCGTGAGGTGAATCCAATGATAGAAAAATAAGATAAAACGGAGTTACGATGAAGAAAATACAAGCATTTGAACGGGTGACATTGAAACTAAAATTCTGGGTCTCTCTGTCGTGCATGCTGTGCTGTTAGAGAAGATGAACTAAATTTTTTATCCAGTGTTTCTCGGCTCATGGTGCTACGGTGCATCCTAGCACATTTAGGTTAATCGAGTGGTCCTATGACTTTGGGGATGACCACCCTTAGGTTTTTCGACGTGTAGAATCCATTTTTGGGGTTAGATCTTGCAAAATTTGAGTCTAAGATGATGATCAACAACTAAAAGTTCTAAGAGAATCCAATGGCAGATCAACGGTGAGATCGCGTCCGATTGATGTGAAATTTCAGCAAGACGATCATGGAGCCAAGACGGTCATATCTTACGATCAGAATCATAAATCAAATTCGGACGATAAATCGCTAGCAACCTAACATAGTAAGAAAACCCTCTCAACCCTCTCATTTTTTTTATATATTTGAAAATTTCAAATTATATACATATGATAAAATGTCTAAACTTGTAGATAGAATTTTATTTATAATTGTATGAAAATTTATGATGGTACATCAAATTTGGACTTGCATGTGTAGTTTATGCCATTAAAAAGATGATTGAAGATGTTATTGGTTCTTTTAAATCTGCCAGAAGGTTTGTACTAATTTTTTAGACAATTTTAACTCAAAATTTGAAGGCGATTTCTTCTACAAAGTTGTTGATAATGATGTCTAGTTCATCCACAAAATGTTTCAACAATTATTGAGTTTTGTATGAATTTATACATATTTTTAACCAAATCTGGAGCTATAGACAGATTTTATTATGTGTTTGAAAAATCATAAAAAATTTATATTAAACCAAATCTGGTAATTTCTAAGCAAAAAATGAAATTTGAAAAGTCTAGTTTCATAATAAATTTTTAGATCATGGAATTTATTTATAAAATTTAAGTATGGAATTAATTTAAGGAAATGTGATAAATCTGTGTCATAAAATTTCTGGGAATTTTACAGAATTATTTATAACTTATTTTTGGGAATTTATTTCTGAAAAATGACCCAAAATATATTTATTGAATATTCTGTACATTTTCACGAATTTTAGAAATGTATAAATAATTTATTTATAATTTTTATTATCTAAGGTATAACCTGAAAATTTCTAGACAGGTTTAAGATCATGACTTCAATTATTTATTCGGATAAAAATCAGTTATTGTGTTGGTCCAATTCATCAAATATAGTAAATAGTAATCCATGTATGGGTGTATTGTGGTTTATTTAATATTGTGGTAGTCTAATCTTGTAAATTAAAAATCCATGCACGTGTGACTTTGGTTTATTTTCTCTGTAGCTAAATTATTATTTCATACCATGGTTTAAATAAATTGTTTATTTAAATGCTGTACATTTGTTTATTATTGTGTGATATGTGTAATATTTTATGTTGAGAATTTTAATGAGTTGGCATAAACATCATTGTGATAAAAAAAATTAGAATTATTTGTGAGTAATATCAAAATTAACTGAAATAATTAAACGGCATATACAAAGTTAAAATTGACGGTTAATATCAGTTGTTCAGAGTGAGTCTTGGTTTTAAAGAGTGTACGAAATTAAGGGTTGACGGTTGATACCGGTTGTTCAGGGTGAGCCCTGGTTTTGAGAATTCTCACGTAAATTGTGTTGCGGAACTCTAAGATGGCACGGGACTTATTTGAATCCTTTTCGGTATTTGGTTTTGGAATAAGGGTGGATGTGCAGGTGGTACACATGGAGGTTACTTACCCCTGGCAGACCGTTTCCTTGGGGCAGACCACGGATGCCACTACTTGGGTATATCACTCCGGACGTGGGCATCCCTGGTAGTTACGGTTGGTAACACTAAAATATTTGACCAAGGGAGGGTTTCAAATTAACCGTTGCCATGCTTAGTGGTTGGTAAGTTAAATCTCTTTGGTGAGATTTCGAGTGTCACCTAATTTATTAAAATTATTGAAATTATTTTAATGGTTGTAATTTATGCTTACAATTATATTGTTATCTCATGTTTATAATCTCATTATTTTTCTCTTAAAAAGAATGGTAGGTTGGTTATGTTTTCTTACTGTGTTGCAAAACTCATGGCATATATTTTTGTTGCCCTGGCGTTTTATGCCAGGTCTTGGCGAGAAAATAATTGAAGCTGAAATGGAGTCGACGCTAACGTAGAGCTTTGGCTGACCTGAAACCCCGAGTAGAGCCGAATAAATTATATTATTTTATATAATAGCTATTAAGGACTTTATAATTTCATTTAATGTTGTATTTGGATAATTTTAAGTTTTTATCTATTGTTATTTGGACGTTTGGTTATGTACGAGAGTTGGATTACCCTGTTAAGATGTCAACTTTTTAGTTTATTAAGTCATTTTGTTTATTTAATTTCCCTTGATACTTCAAAAAAAAAAAATTTTGGGGCGTCACAGATTTATCTATGTTTATCTTCCTTTTTCTTTTCTTTTTTCAATCCTCATTATGCACATTTTCTTTTTGGTTTAAATCTTCAACACATACTCCCAACAATCACCAAAATATGTAATGGCCAAGCCAACACTTTCTTATGAGGGGAAAAGAAATCTAGTGTACAGTGCATAGGTCATACTAATCCATTCAATTTCATTCCACTAGTTTAACATTCACCAAAACCACTAACAGAAAAGCTACAAAGACTACTACAACACCCTTTACTAAGCTCCATAAGAAAGAAAGAAAGATTAAGAAAAATAATCTAGTGGAAAAAGCAAATGAAAGCAAAAAGTTTGAGGAGTACTTTTTTTTTATTTTTTATCATGGTTTACTGCTCATTAGTCCCATTTTGCCTATCTTTTATGTAATAAAGAAAAATTTTGTGAGAGAGTTATACCTTTGATTATATTGAGAACCTAGAAATTGATGACCACCAGCAAAAAAACACAACACAATATGAAAATAGCAGAAAATAACAAACTAAAATTTGGGAGAAAACTAATGATTAGAGGGAGAAAGGAAATGACATATTTATCAAAACTTTAATGAAAAATATTATGAAAGAAATTAAAAAAAAAATTGAATACCTTTCATTATAGAAACTGATGAACTGCGTCAAAAATTGATGAACTGCAGCAAGAGGGAAATCAGATATTAGAAATTGATTTATAGAAATATAGCAATCAAAACAAAAGAAATAAAACAATTAATCAAAGTACCATAATGTTTGTACAGGATCATTTTCTACAGTATCATTTTCAGATAACTTTATTTTTTTAACACAAATAAAATAAAATAAATAAATACATAAGTGAATAGTTGAAAAAAACATTAAGAATTGAAAGTGAAACCACCTTCTTCTTCACTTATGAGGTACCATTATGCATAATCATCTAATTAAAAGTATAAAGCAGGTTTAAACTGCTTCAAGCATAAAGTACGTTTATGCCATCACTCATTACTCCAAGATGACTAACTAATAGCATAGATAGTTTACTGAATTAATGTAGTTCCAAAACCAAATATTTGAAGAAAAATCAAACAGCCAATTGGCTTAAAACTGACTTTTGTTACTCTAGACATCTTTATTGTTTTTTTTTTTTTTTTACAAATTCTTTCTAAACCTCATTGAGCCAATCTTAGCATTGTTTAACTGGCAAAGCTGAAAGCATAATTTGTTTTATTTTTTTATCAGAACTTACAATCCTCACTCTGAAAGTAAAATAAAAAATGAGAGGAAAAGAAGAAAGAAAAAAATAAGAAGAAGAGAAAGAAAGAAAGGAAAGAATAGGCTCAGCTCCTGTGAAAAATAACAGACGGTTTTCACCCAATGAAACAAAAATATATTGAGTTAAGAGTCACAGGAGTAAAGGGAAGAATAAAACATCTTGTTTTTGAAAAATAATAAAATCAAACAATGATTATCATCAAAATAGTATGAAATTCAAAAATTAAAATAGAAGACCCAAATTATTAGCATAAAAAAATCAAGTACTCGCTCTTCTTGGTTCTTGCTTCTCTACCGTCTGTGAACAAAAAACATAAACTGCATCTAGCTAATAATCCAGAAGATAGCCAACATATAAAATGAAGCCTAGCTAGTAAAAATTTAAGATTCTTAATTTTCATAACATGTAAAATGAAGCCAAGTTAAACAATAGATAAGTAACAAATTATTTACAAATCCATCAATGAAAGGAAGACCAATTACCTAATCAACCATTGTAGCAAACAAAGCCAATCAAACACGCCTTCAAGCCAAAGCATATGTACCTGAAGCAAAAGGAAGAATAAAAAATATAAGCAAGCAAGCTCCATTATCCAATATCCATTATCTAAAATCAACTCCCTAAAAATTACCCACTGTTTATTATTAAAAATAAGATCCAACTCCCACTGATTGATTCACCAATTTGAATATACCTATATTTTTGTTAACCTTACCAAATATCTAAGGCATGTATCATGCACTATTTAGGGGGAATGTAGAATAAACTATGATGGATTCACTCACTATTTTTTGTGTGTGTGTGTGTGTGTGTGGAGGGGGGGGGGGATGTAGAATAAACTATAAGATAATTTTGATCAATTAGGACATTCACATTACCAACACCAAGTCCATTCAAGCATGGTTAATCAAACACTCTATAGGAAAGGTTGTTTAGTCATTTACTTGGCTTGATAGATTCACTGACTATTTGAACAACAAAAAAGTACAATTATACAAGAAAGTAAACTATTTTAATTGAGGCATTTTACAGAACATCCAAAATTTGACCATCAAAAACAACCGCCACAACTTTCTAGCAAAATTTGTAATTAGTTACCTAACCAAAGGTAATGTTGAAGAAGAAAACCAACAATTCTATAGCAAAAGTGAATCTGAAAGGTATAGAATTTAGAAAAGTGAAAAAATGATGTCTATTCCTAACAAAGAAAAAACATACACAACATCATTGTAACTTAAGCCTAAACTTAGAAAACCCACATAGAAAAACCGCAAAAAAATAACAGAACACAGACCCAGAAGAATAATATTGGTAGTTGGATGATTCCCATTATCCAAAAGCAAGTTAAAAAATTATTGGGATGATTCCCATTTCTTCACAAAATCAAACCGAAAACAAAAATATAAGAGAAGATACCATCAACTGGATTTGTTGTGTGTAAATTCCATTGAAGCATTTTATCAAACACTCAATAAGTAAGGAACATAGAATGGTTATCGAACATTTTGGTAACAACCATTCAATAGAGTAAATCAAAGTAAATGGGTTTCGTGAAACCCAACCAACTCTTCATATATGTGTTTATAAAAGTGCACCCAAAATTAACAAAACCCATAAAAGTGCACCCAAAATTAAAGAAAAACAATACTCACAGGAAAAAAAAAAAACAAAGAAAAAAATCAGTAAAAATCTGTAATCATATATATACACACAAAGAAAACATTATCCATAAAAGTGCAACCAACTCTTCAATTGATGATCTCTGTGGCTTCAAACAAAAAAAACAAAAAAAAATCTGTTCAGGCGATCATGGATTCGTTCGACCTATCTCACCATTGGGTCTGACCTGAATAGTTTTGGACGGATGCATGATTTTTGACGAAAGGATATGGGTGGTGCGATAATTAAAAAAATGCAGGTCGGTTGACAGTTCAACCGGCCCTTGAACAGAGAGCACCCAACCTGCCTGTATTTTTTTTTTCTTCTTTTCTAGCTGCTAGCAACAGTCCCACACAAAATAATTTTTCAGATTCCAAACCCTTTGTTCTCTTCTTCTTTTCCAGCTGCTAGCAACAGTCCCACACAACATAATTTAAAAAAAAAAATGTGTATTTGATGGATTCTCTGCTTGGTATTTGTTGTTTAAAAAAATGCTATGTTCTCTGAGAGATATTTTTCTTTCTGGAAAGATCACCAAGAAAAAGGTGGGTGAAAATTTTCAGAAATTAGGATTATTCTCCACGCACTCATTTTTTTCATAATGAGATATTTCAATTTTCAATTTTCACCACGCACTCATTCAATTTTCATAATGAGATATTTCAATTTTCACCACGCACTCATTCTTTTCATAATCTGAGACCCTGGGTCCTAGGCTTATTCATAGTGAATATAGACTGGATTTGGGTCCCCTCCTTTCTGTAATCTTCTTCAAGGATTGGGGCTCTCATCATTACTTTTATTTTACAAACTCCTGGACCATCAGGTCAGGTGTGTAATGTTGTGTGGGACTGTTGCTAATGAAAATACATCAAATACACATCTTTTTTTAAATTATGTTCATTCAAATAATAGATTTATTTCACAAAAAATTGGTTTCATGAGGAATGAACAAATATAGTCAAGAATTCGGAAAACCTCACCGATTTGTTGCTGCGATGTCGCCGATTTGGACCCACCGATCTAGCAAGGCTAGCACCCAACAAACTCTCCATCTGCGAAGTCGCCAATCTGCTCTTGAATGAGAGAGAGAGAGGGAGAGAGATGGATGGAAGGGAAGAAGAAACACCATAGGATTGAATCTGCTCTTAAAAATGTATCTGCTCTTGAAAATGTATTTGTCTCTTGGACATCGTAGAATTGAATCACCATTGTTAATCCACCATTGAAATATAATGTCTCTTAGACATTTTTTAGCTGTTGGATTGAATTAATCCTACGGTTCATATTTTGACAAAGGGACAACAGTCCCATCAGAATTCAAAAACCACTCTCCCTTATTATATAGATATATAAATTCAATATATTTTTCATATTTTTATGTATTTATTAATTTTTTAAAATATTTTTTCACAAATATTTTACTTTTTAAATACATCTAAGAAAGGTACATCTAAAAAAAATGTTCAAAATTTTAAAAATATTTACTAAAAATTCAATTTTTAAAAAACTGAAACCAACAGTATTTACATAGTAACTTTTTTCTACGTTGACAAATCAAATGACATGATATCAATCAATCTGGTCTTGCAAAAAGATGAAAAGATAGCCTCCTATTTTTATGATTACGATTAATTTAAAATTGTGTTTGGCTGAGCGATTTGTGAAAAGATTTGAAAAAGGAAAGGAAAAAAAAAATGTATGTGAAATTAGATGAAATGTGAGTATTCATTCACATTTTATTTAACTTTTTCTTTTTTCTTTTTAAATTTTTCAACCAAACATAACGAAAAAAATTTAATTTGTCACTATTCCCTTGGGATGTGGTATCATGGATTTATTATAGCCAAGTGGTGCCAGAAATATTGTGATTGCTTGCTGGAGGGAATAGTATGGTTGATTAGTCAGTGGCATAGTTTCATTGTGTCCAAAGTATACAGGTGTGGGGACATATTTTTTGTTAATGACAACACGTGGCCAAGGTGGCACCGAAGTGCCAGCCGATGTGCCACGTGTCCTAGTC